GCTTCAACCTCCCCCAATTGCCAGGATTATAGGTATGCACCACCGTGTCCCACTTATGAGGCTTTTGTAGTTGGGTTTCTCTAACCAGACATCTGTCAACTTAGGTGCATGTATTTGAAAAGGTAGCCTAACCATAAGGATAAGGATATCCTTATGCATAAGGATCTTTGGTCTCCGTTTTGCTCTATGGAAATGAAGCCTGCCTCACCAGTGGGTTAGAGTCTAAGTAACCACTCACTGGCCCGAAGAATGAACCATCCAGTCATCCTATCAGTGACAAGGCCAATGCTGAGGTAATGGCTTCAAACTGCTGAACCTGTTTATGTCTTCGGTTATGTTTTTTTCTTATATATTCGATCTTCTAGTTTCATGTGGACAATTCCTCAGGATATGATAATTGTTGAGAATTATCATTGGATATTGTAGAGAAAGCTGAACATGGAATGATCTACAAGTGGTCAAATCCTCGAAGCCCATTGCGTAGGGGGACAGGACTCGGATTTCCTGGCTCCTAAATCCCTGTGCTCTTTCTACCAGAGCATAACTATGCTGTAATCTCCTTGGATGTAGGACAAGCTCACCTTGATAAGTTGTCTTTAATATTCATGTTGATGCCCTGCGGGTTCAAGGTCAGTTTGGAGTTGGCAGGAAGCTAGGAAAGTTCAGGCCTTTCATTTTCAGGGGCAAGGAATTGAAACCGGAGAGGTCTGCAGTACACCTAGGGCTGGGAATTTAGGCTGCCCTCTTCCCAGCACGTTACTGCTAACATCAAGCCCAATACATGGTCTAGGATATTTTTAGCTTTTTCCTACTCTCTGTGCTCTCTGGTAGAAATACTTGAAAGAACATCAGGCCAAATGGCACCAGAGGGGGAATAAAATAGAAAAGAAACTCTGTTTATCTTTGAAAAATTGAGAGTGGGCTATACTGTGAGTGATGAGCACTCCCTTTTCTTTCATTAGCATTGATTACCTCCCTGGATGAGGATGGGGAATGGACAAGCAAGGAAAAATACATGTTGGATTCTTTTTTTTTTTTTTTAATACTCTCATGGACAAATTGATAATAAAAGCAAGTTCCAAGTTTTTTAAAAAATATTTTACACATTGTTTTTGTTTTTTGCCTAATGAAACATCTATGTTATGGCATTTGTCCGGATTCTGATATAAATGAAATAGAATAATCTTAGAACATAGAAAAAATGCATTTAATATTTTGGCTCCAGAAAGTAATACATGTTGACCCTGTTGAAACTGCACTCTCTCAGAGGGGCAAACATTTAGCAAGATTTTAAAGAACTTTCAAAGTGTTACGTATGCTGATGAATTGGGTATAGCGGGCAACATTATATGTAAGCAAGAAAAGATTTCTGGAGTTTTAATATGCAGCTGGATCACTTCCTGTGGGGTCTGTGTTTTTCACTGCATGGTGACATGAGCCGTCTGAGAACCTCAAGCACGTTCCTGACACCTTCTGCTCTGGGGTGCATGAGTCTCACCTACCTCATGGCAGACACCGATTTTGCTCATCAACTGATGGATCGTGAACCTCTCCCCTCCTGCAGTTTTGCTCTAATTAAAGAGGTTAAATTACTATTTGCTCGGCCTTTAGTTCCTTATCACAGCTTCCTGAACTCTTAAAAATATACACCTTATTCCTTTCAGATTTAAAGAAAATACAAAACCCATTTGCTATCTTTACTGCTGTGATCTTGTCTGAAAGAGGCCTGTTGGAACTAATTTATTAAGGGGAATGTTGGGTAGCTGGCGTTTTCTTTGATGAAAGAAGCTGCAGGTACCAGGCACAATATGCTTATGTGAAAGGTGAGGCTTGCACTGAAATGCAGCCAGATGGAAGGCCCTGCTGGGGTCAGAAGAGGGGATGGGATGAGCTGCTGAAGAGCGGCAGGAGAGTCAGGCAAGGCTGGCTGTGTTCTTGCCCCGATGTTGAATAGCTGATGATCCAAATTGCCTAAAAATGTTGTTTTCAACCAGCCAGGAGGGCAGCTTCCCAGTCTTAAGTACGCCTCAGTGTTAAAATGAGGAATTAGAGCACACTCCTGTGTGTCCCTCTCTCTCCTGAGAAGCACAGCCAGGGTTTCATTTGCGGTCACTGAATCGTACACAGGGACACAAGGTTCATTTACCAATCAAAAGCAGCAGATTCCTCTAAATCAAAATAGCCATTCACAGTCGATTGATTGAACATTTATAAAACATTCAAGGATCAAATTCATTTTCATTCATAATATGATACAGTTTTGCAAGTGAATTCTCCAGGGGTAGAAACATGTGTTTCTGTACCTCATAGCGAGACACATCTTCTGCTTGGAAGATTTATGCCATCTGTGCAGCTAGGATTTGTTTTTAATAGCAAAATTTTTACTTTGCCCCTATGCTAAGTTATCCTGTGGCAAACTTTCTTGAAAGAGGCATTCATTACTATTTTGTTATGTGGTAGAAAGTATGATTTTCTTTCTTGCAAGCAAGATATACTGTAGCCATCTTGAAGGGTTTTTTGTTTTTGTTTTTGTCTTTAAATTTTTTTTAACTTAATATTTTTAGGAGTGCAGTGCCTTGGTACAATCTATAATATTTTGTAATAGTAGGATAAATTCATTTTAGAATTCAAACAGTTCTAATAAAATAGGCCAGTATTCTAAAAGTTTATTAAGAATCAAAGTAGGAAATAAAGCTGTAATTTGTTCTTATAGAAGACTTAACTTAGTTTCAAATTCTTTATGGCTAGAAGCTATGATAAAAACACAGGAATTATATTGATGAGGGCAGAGACAGAACAAATTGTTTGATGCTTTGGCATTATAGAATCATAGTATCTTACAACATTAGAATGTTTGGCATGTTTTTAAATGATTGATAATGATGGTACCATCCTTGTATCATAGGATGTATTGTCATTATGCATAAAATCTTCCTTTTTAAATTAGTTTCTAAAAAACAGTCTTAGGCCTTTTATAAAGACACCTATTCCTACAAAATTCAGACCTCCTTCAACTGTTTATTGAGCAACTACTATGTCCTAGGCACTGTATCAGGCATTGGGGAATAAGTCACAGACACACAGTAGCCCTTACCATTATGAAATTTCTATTTCGAACTAAAACCAAAAGTACATAGGGACACAAGTTTCATAGTCAGGTAGTTAGTAGAGCAGAAGTAGTTAGGTAGAGCAGAAAGCTAAGTCACACTTGATTTTTATTTCAATTTCATTTAAATGAACTAATTGAGAATAAATACCTGTGCTGTTTAATAAAGCTCTTAGAGTAAAAAAAGATTGGAGGCTAAAGTCTGAGGAAATTGAAAGCAGAATTTGCACCGCCTGCTGGACCCATGCTGAGGTCTGAGGAAAGTTCTTGACCTTACCTCACAGCTTCTTCCTGGTTATGCAATAGGCATTTTACCCAAGAGAATGAAATTTTAGTGACAGCAAACTGCAGGGTGCCTTTCTCGGGTAAGCCCTCTTACTTAATTATATGCAAAGCAAACTGCGACTTGCCTGGGTTAAGATTTTTGTTGTGCTAGAATTTGGGAAGTAGAAGTGTGAGGTGTTTAAAAATTTTTTTTAATTTTTTGTCCTCCAGCATCTTTCTCTATTATTTATGACATCTTTGACCATTTTGGCAGTGAAAAATCTTCAACTATGTGCCTTTCTATAGTTGCAAAACAGTTATACTTTAATGTTTAAAAATATTTAGTGGATAATTTGGCGATTATTTTATAAATATTCAGAATTCATAATCATTTTTCTTTCATAAAAGTTGGTGGATAGTGGATTTTAAAAGAACACACTTTTATATTTTGTATATAAATGTTGTCTGAGCTGGGCTCTACATTTGCTGATTTCCATAACTAAACATTTAAATTTTACATTGCACTGAGAGTTTTTGCATATAATGGGCTTTAATTTGGGTTGGGAAAAAGGAAAAGAGGTAAAATCTGATAAAATCTCAAAAAAGGAAGTGAAGCCGGGTGTGTGCAAGCCACACCTGTAATCTCAGTGGTTTAGGAAGCTGAGACAGGAGGATCTCAACTTCAAAAGCAAACCTCAGCAAAAAGCAAAGAGCTAAGCAACTTAGTGAGACCCTGTCTCTAAACAAAATACAAAAATAAAAAAGTGGGGGGCTAGGGATGTGGGATGTGGCTCAGTGGTCGAGTGCTCCTGAGTTCAATCCCTGGTACCAAAAAAAAAAAAAAAGCATGTGAAGATTTGCTTCATTAGTTAAAGATCTTAAATTAACATGGTTAAAACAACAACAGAGCTGGATTTGGTGGCACATGCATGTAATCCCAGCAGCTCAGAAGCTGAGGCAGGAGGTTTGCAAGTTTGAGGCCAGCCTCAGCAACTTAGTGAGACCCTATCTCAAAATAAAAAGAAAAAAAAAAAAAGAAAGAAAGAAAAGAACCGGGGATGTGGCTCAGTGGTTAAGTGTGCCTGGGTTCAGTCTCCAGTACCAACAAAAACAAAAACAACTGCAGAAACCCCTTCTCAAGGTTCAGAGATGCTCAGATAGTAATTTAAAAAAAAAAAAATTTTTTTTGAAGAAAATAATTACTTAGATAGTCAGCCAGGTGAATTAATGTGAACTAGGGATCATTTTACACATAAGATATGCAGACCACTACTGTTGAGCATCTAAACCTAAAATACAAAAATCCAGGAAATTTTCCTATTGTTTGTGTTTATTGTGGTATAGAAAAATAATTTGTTTGTTATCGACAAGAATTTTAAAGTCTTCAGTGACTCTCAATTTTATTTCTCTCATGTTTTTAAAAAATGTGACACTAATATAAATCACCACATACAGCTTCTCAGAGGCAAGGCCATGCTTTCTGTGGGGTTGAGGGATCCTGGTGGTGTCTTGCGTGGGGACATGCACGGCTTGGCAGGGTCCCCCCATGCTCCATTGTAAGAGGGTCGAATTTGCATCTCAACCAGAACCACAATGACTATTCCAGTCCTTAAAAGCATTTCTGTTTCCTACCTGCCCACAACACATTTTAAAAATCCATTTGTAGGTAGAATAACCTATTGGGAAAAGAGAGACATTAGTTAAAATTCTCTGAAACACAAGAGTAGTATTAGACTAGAAAATTGGTCATTGTAGGGAAGTAAGTGCATTTATCACAGGAAATGAGAACTGCTTGGTTCTAGGGGGACGTTGAAAATGCTCTAAGAAGAGGGTTTTGGTTGTGTGCAGTTAGCAGTGAACAGTGCTGGGACTTCTCAGGGCCCTGGGACAGGGAGAGGCGGAGGTCACCTTTGTCCTTCGCAGGGGATCCTGCTGCCATTTTGAGTTTTCAAGCTTCCCATTATTACTGTGCCAGTGACTGTCACCTCTGTTTTTTTCAGTACCCATCATAAAGCTGACTTGGGAGGGACAGGCAAGCCTCATCGAGTACTACAGTGACTATGCGGAAAGTTCCATCCCCACTGTGGATTTGGGAATTCCCAATACAGAGAGAGGTATTAAATCAAATCCTTATTCTGAAATATAGCAAATAAGGATAAAGATATTTTTAAGTACTGAAATTTTTACTTCTTGTCAGTTTGTTTTTTCTTTTCTTTCTTTTTTTTTTTTTTTCTTATTCTAACAGCCAACATCTATACCCACAGATGCAGTCTGGTTCCTCAAATTAAAGACTCTGTAGTACAGACAAGGACCTTGCAGTCTATTTTGGGTCTGTTCCATTGCTGTGATCCAGGGCACGTCCGTTCCAATAGAGCTGAGCACTAGGTCTTTCATTCTGCCACAGTGCAGCCCGGACATATGGGACATGCAAAGTTAACTTGTCATCTTCCCACAGACAGCCTCCATCTTTTTAAGCTGATGGTCCAGTTCACATCTCCTGTGCCTCTCTGAGTAGCTCCTGTCCCTGTTCTGCACTGTTGGTAGAGTAAGCTCTATGTTATTTTTTAGTATTTTGATTAGCAAAGCGTTGGAAATATACCTGCTTTTCTCTTCACATGGCAGGTTTTCTAGTTAAAAAATTCTTATTGTTTTTAAAAAAGGAAAGTAGACATTTGGCCACCTCATTATAAGATGCTTTTTGTCCATCTGATTGTTAATCTAGTGTTTCCCCCCCTCCATATTATTTTGGTCCCCCACCTCCTTTTATGAATAAAACAAAAAAATTACAGCCTGTAATTGCTGTGAGATTGAAAACTTTCTTATTTGTCTGGACTGAAGGTACTAATTTCCTACTGCAAATTATCTGTGTGACCTCATGTAATTCCCCTAAGCTCTCCCACTTTCCATTTTCATTTTCTCATGTGTGAAATGACTGGCTTAGACTTCGTGGCCTCTGAAGTTTTTCCTTGTTCTCTATGTCTGTGAAAATTAGAGAATGCTGCTTTCTAGGAAAATGTCCAATTTTCAAGATCCATGGTAACATCCAAGCTTGTAATTACTTATGAGAGTTTCAAACTAAAAACTTTTTAAAAAATGAATTTACCTAGGTTAGAGAAAATAATGCATTGTAAGTTATCTTCTTACCTTTCCCAGGTCATTGTGGAAAAACATTTGCCATTTTAGAAAGATTTCTGAATCACAATCGGAACAAAATACCATGGCTCCTCATTGTGGATGATGATACATTAATTAGGTAAGGAGTTAAATTCTACATATATCCATATTTGAAAGCTGTGGTGCCTTTGGAGTGTTCCAAGGCACTACTTAATGAGAGAGCTGCAGGAACCTACAGACTCTTGGTTGAAGAGATGGGGCTGAGAGACTCAGGAGACAAAGTTGTTAGAGTTTTTAGGACAGAGCACCAGAGAGGAGAGAGCACTGAAGATGGTCTAAGGAAGCTTTCAGAGTAATTAGAGGGAGGAGGGAGTTGTGGTAGATGCCCACAGGGGCTGGGCTTGGGGCCCATTTCCAGCCACACTGGAAAGTCCACGATTGGCAGAGTATTGGGTTGAGTACACAGGAGAGTCTAGCTTCAATAGCAAGGACTAGTTAACCCTAGACCAAACACCACTCTAGTCCCACTTAGCAAATCTGAAAAAGAAAGAGAGGTAGGTATAAATAAATCTGAAATAATCTTCTAGTCTTTCACCTTCTACAGCTGAAAATTACATGATCTGGCGTGCAAAACCCCACTGGGTTGGATTAACAGCAAATTAGGCATTGTGGAGGACAGTGGTGAAATTCAAAACAGTACAGAAGAAAGTGGTGAACTTCGAAGCATTGCAGTAATAAGTATCCAAAATGAATGAAACACAAAAGTAAAATATAATTTTAGAAAATGAACAGAGCATCAGAGGGACAGTTTCAAATGCATTTGGAGTCCCCCAAGAAGAGGGAAACAACATACATTTAAGGAAATATTTCCCAAATTTGATGAAAATCATAAACCCACAAATCCAAGAAGCCCAGTGAACCCAAGCCCCAAAGCAGAGCAGTAGTGCCTCTAACACTACAAGAGGGATGTCCTCTTCAATAACATCTCAGATAGCAGTTATTGTACCCATAGCCGCGTCACTTAGGTCCCCAGTCTTTACCACTCCACTGGAAATGTTGCCATATGGTCAATTTGAACCTTGTTACTGTTCCTTTCAAAACTCTGATATCATCCTTGGTAACAATGATTATTGTCCTAAGTCCTGAGACTGAGTAATCTGCAGGATTCAGGGCCAACCCCTCTTCTCCATGAAAAACAGCAGCCACAGAGGTAGTCGTTCTGTTGTCACAGAAACACGGAGCTTTGACTTGTGGAAGATCAATACGTATTTGGAGACATGAAAAAATGCCATGAATGCAAATTTTTTTAAAAAAAGGACAAAACAGAGAAGAGAGGAAACTAGAATTTAATACACTCAAGAAAGAAACAGAAGGCAAATTCATATCAGCAATTATAGCTAAAATTATAAAACAGACCAAAGTAAACAAATTACAATGAAATTTTAATAAGAATTATTAGAATCCTAGGTGTTTGTCTTTTTGCGAGTTGTTTATTTCACTTAGTGTAATGTCCTCAAAGCTCATCTGTGTTGGAGAACATTGTTCAATTTTTTCCCTTTTTAAGGCTGAATGATATTTCATTGAATGGATGTATCATGTTCTGCTTCTCTATCCATCTGCTGATGGACGCTCAGGTTACTTACACAGTTGAGCTTTTGGGAATAATGCTGCTATGAATTTGAGTGTGTAGGTGGCTCTTCAAGACCCTGGTCTCAATTCTTTGGGGTGTATAATGAGAAGTGGCATTCCTGGATCATAGGACAATTTAGTGTTGACTTTGGGGAAGCATTCTAATATGTTACACAGTTAGAAATTAGTTAACTTAGATAGAAAAAAAAATCAACGAGGATGGGGCGAAAATGAAAACAAACTGGACCCAACTGTACTTCATGTGAAAATATAATCACGCTAAGAACGAAAAAAATATAACTAATGCAAGTAATTTTTGAAGATAGTATTTAAATATATACCTTTAGTCAAGAGTGAGAAGAAGGGAGGAACCTCAAA